GGCGCAGGCGTCGGAAGAATTCTTCTAGTTCTTCTCCACATTGAAGTATTTTATTAGGGTATTTTTCTGGACAGAAATTTAGGTCTTTAGAAAGGACAGATTTTTCAGTTTTGGTAAGCGTGTGCGTGGAGAGATTGATAATGTTTGTGGGTTGGTTGCTGCTTTCAGTTTTATCAAGTCTGAGGTTGGAAAGTTGCTGCTTAGGCAGCAGCATTTCCTTTCTGCCTGTCTTCTCACAGCTGGCTCCTGTTTAGCTGCCTGCAGCTATTTGCCTCTAGGCTGCCCAGATGCCTGTCCTCATGCAGTCTATTATTTTGCAACTCTTTCCTAAGAGAAACCCTTCTCCCAGGGGTAGCCTCTTCTGAGTGGCTACTATTCTGCTTATTTGCTAGCAACCAGCTCCCTAGTATATAGCCTACTCCCAAGCTGCCAGCTTCCTTTTAAAACAACAGGAGCCTTCTGGCTCCGTTATAGTCATATACATAATTCTTTTTACCCTAGATCCTCCAAGTTTTTGCATAATTATCATTCCCATTTTCTAGGGGAGGAAACTGATGCACAAAATGTGTCTTATGGTGTTTTGGGGATTTGCAAGCGATATGCCAAAGTAAAAGTGATATAAGGACTTCTATGGTGTCATCAAGGCCACATTGAGGAGGTGTCCCATCACCTGCACCAGAGATGGTTGATATGAAGCAAGACTATATTCACACTGGAGTCCCCAGTACAACCCCCTACGCATCACCTCTCATCAATTTGTTTTATTTGTGTGTCTCATGGACAAGAGACACTTAGGAAATAACCCTAGAATGGAATTTCTTGCATCCAGGATTCTGTGTTCACCAGACTATGGGATAACAATTGCAGTTATTTATATCTCTCCAGTGGAAAAAGCTAAAAATTAAATTAAATTAAAAAATTACAGCATGAATGCTCAGGCACTGGAAAGATCATAAAACTGTGGCACCTGCAATTTTCTTACCCCAAGTTTTCCACTAGCCTACTCAGCATTTTATATAAATAAAATACTATCAGAAGTCACAGAAGCAAGAAATTGTTCAGTGAATTGTGTGGTGGACAAAACAGTTGGTTTTGTCCAGCCCACATATGATACAATGACATGCCACATGTGGCAGTTCCTTTGGATATGATAAACTTTTTGACTCATATGTTTCTTGATAACAGACAGGGAGAGACTATACAGATTCGACTCTAAAAAGAATTGCAGAGACACCGTTCTTTGTCATATCTTCCTCTCTTCCAGATATTGTTTTTCTTTTCTTGTGAGAAAAACTAGAGATGGGATACAAAGCAATGAAAACTTGAAGGGTGTGTCACAGTCCATGGCCGGCTGAAGAAATCTGAGGTGTTTTCTATTTAAACTTCTGGATACATTACAGATTAAAAAGAAAGTTGGTCCTATTTCAGTTACTGAGATAGTCCAGCTGTTTCAATATTATCTTTGTGACCCGTGTGAGTGGCACAGTCTAACCAGATCAACTGAAAACATTCAGATACACATCCTAGTTTAGAATTATGAGAGCAAAATTATATCAGCACAAGCAAAACTGATCAGACAGAATAAAAGGCAGGCTGCATCATTATAACAAAAGGGGAAGGCTGTGTCAGCATGGACAAAACAAAGTGATTTGCATATGGAAAGACATACATTTCCTTCAAAATACATCTCTGTTTCTGACTCTGAAGTCATTTTCATGCAGAAACTAGAGTTACCATGTCAACCTTCAGACAACGCTTGAATTCATTTAACTTGGGTTACTTACAAAGGCCAAACATGCTGACTACAGCAAAACCTCTGCAATTCCTGCTACAACCCGTATTTTCACCTCCTGCAAAAGTTGTAAGTGATAAATTACTGGATAATTCATCATCCCCTTGCAAGAAAAATCATTTAATAAATACATATTAAGCAGAGATGTCCTGGTGTGGAAGGAGAACAACTTTATAGGTCAAGTTTTCTTTGCATCTCCTTTTCTATCACATGCAAGTCTGGCCAGTTCTACTAGCCAGTACACGGATTTCAACTAACAGAATTGCTTGCTCTCCTGTTATCTAGTGTTTTCTCAGGAAGTTCTAGCTCCTGGAAACATGTGAATATGTGAGACTGCCAACCTTAATTTATATATGTCTTTTTTGGGGTGGAGAAAGACTTGAAAACATAACCTTTAAAAGTTAAAAAATCATAAAGCAAACATGAAGGACATATACTTTATTATTATTTAAGTCTCATGATTTTTACACTAATCTTGTGATTTTTGACTGTTCATGGTTAGCAATACCTAGCAAAGCCAGGGGCTTGCCTTTACTTCATCCTCTGATCCTTGCAGTGTCCCCCCAGGGCAATATGGAGACAGCAAGGCACAAAGACTGCATTTCTACATAGCCTATATACGGCCTGTGTAATAGTTAGGGATTGCTGCTTCTGCCTCCTTTTTTCCTCGCTGTGTTCTTTCACAATTGGGTCAGGTACAATCTAGCAAATGCAGTCACCACAGCACTTATAATTTATATGTTATTGACAGGTTCTGACATAAAAATCTTTAGAGCTGACAGCTTCTGAGTTCCAGAATTCATTAAAGAATATGTTTTAATTCATGCAGCTCCAGCAATGTTAACTCAGAGGCTTTCTGTTCTCCAGAAATACCACACCATTAGCATGAAATCACTAGGCAGATAGAAAGAAAGACTCCACTTGCCACTGTGGAGTGACCTCAGCACCAGCTATTGGACACCAGGACATTGATGGTTCTGCTGTCCCTTGGCACATTTCTGATGACCTCCCTACTGCTGTGAGTAAATTTAATAGCTAGTTTGGAATCTTTAAAAAATATAAGGGGAATGAACAAACAGAAACCCCAAAAGAAACTGGATAAAGCAAACCACAGAAGGGTTATGAAATCTTGTTTTCCGAATAGAGAGCCAGATGTGAAGTCAGTGGAGCAGCTTTGGATTTACACTGGCAGAGCTGAGGGCAGGATTTGGCCCTTAGAGTGCTCTGCATAATCCTACATTGTAGATTTAGAACAAACTGGAAATGTTTGAAGTTCAATTTCCATTTGGCTCTGGCAAAATCTGAGCTCTGAACATGTTCCCAACTGGGCAAGAATTAGTTTAAACAATAACCTTTTTTTGTTTGCACAGCACAGGTTTTCCACTTAGTTATAAATACAAATTTTAATTTTAAAACAATAGCTTAAGCACAAAGTGGTTTGCTGAACTCAATACATGTTGTGTGAAACCTAAAACTTTGGGTGCTAGAGTGGTGTTTTAAAGCTCAAATCAAAACTACATTATGCCATGACAACAAGGTTGATCTCTGTCTCACATGGTAGCAGTTGATCTTCTGATTTCCTGGGCTCTTCCTGTAACCAGAAAGAAAAGACTGCAATTTTATGGTCAGCAGTGGCATTGGTTCTCTTCTCTCTCTCTCTTGGCTCTCTCTCCTCAGTCAAATGGGGCAGGCAAACCCTGCTTTTCAAAACACATCAACTGTGGACCACACACAAAGTCGGAGGTTAACGCTATTATAACTCCTGTGTCAGGCCTTTTCTTTTCTGGAATGCCAAGCCTATTGCTTATTTCTTTATTAAATAAGATTTTCTTTTTGATTGTTATGTCGTCTCAGCCTCAGCAAAAAACCCTTCCTTAGAGGGAAAAGGTCAACCATGTATTCTCTCTCCTTGATAAAATAGCAGAATTTCAATCAAGGGAAACTGAAGAGTAGATCTTCACTCTCCGCCTTACAGGAAAGGCAAAAAAAGGAAATACATTTCTCCTTCCTCCTTTCATTTTGTAGCTGAAGAGAGAGCACACAACTCTTGAGCACCTTCAGCTCTGACAACTTTAAGCTAGGCCCAAACACATAAGATATTTCCAAACGCACATAAAAATAAGGTTTTTCTATGAAAAGCAAAGTCTTCTTACTCCAAAATGTGTTCCTGAGATGCGCAAGAGCCTTCCTACCATTGAATGAGCAGCAATCTGGGTGGTATTGCCTCAAGCACAGCAACTCTCTCTCTCTCAATAAAAAAGTAAGGAAAGAAAAAAGAAACCCTGTCCATGTGCTTGGAGCAGCTCTCACTTTGCTTGCTCTTTGCCATCACAGCATTATCTACATTTCAAAGGGTACATGCAGTGCAGAAGGTCCCCTAAAATACCTACTCGATTATCTTTACTTATGCTGAGCAGTTTCAGCTCACGGCCCTTCTAGTTTTCTTCCAGGCAGAGCTGTGAAGAGATTTACTGAGCTCAGGGGATCCAGCTCTCATTCTGACTCTTTGTACACTGATTTTCCCTCTTGGGAAGTCCTTCTTCCCCATTCTTTCTGTCTTCTTTGTCTTCCTCCAGTTACTCCCTCCTTCATTCACTTCCCCTAACCCTCTTAGTATTTCATCTTGCTCATATCTCCTCACTTTTTTGTCATCTCCATCTGAGAGTTATTTTAACATGTCTCTCCTCCTACTGCCTTTCCTCTCATCACAATTTAGGGAATTATATTATTAAAGGAATATAGATTTGGAGAGCTTTTCTATTTGTTCTAACCCTAGGAAGAGATATGTAACCCTAGCCACGGTGCTACCTGTGGCCACATTCGGATTCAGGGTCATGGGGTGTCAAACAGCCTTGGTCAACCTCCCAGCCCTTAAGGCTGGGGCCACCTCTCCGTGGAGCGCTTTCCCCACACACTGGAGTACCTACAGTCTATTTATGCAGTTTATTATTTACAATACAGTCAACATATGAATGAGGCTAACAGCAGAGCAGGATATCATTAATCTAATTGTCGAGGGCAGGTATCAATGAACTAAAACACTGTACAAATTGAATCAAAGACACCCTCAGTACCACTCCCCAGGTTAAACCTTGAGACTGCAGTGAATTTCAGCAGAAGCACATGGGGTTAACAAGACATCAGCTCTACTTCACAGTGGCAGCACAATACCTATGGCTGGTGCTGCTGCTTCAGAAAGCCCTGCTCTCTGCTAGAGCCTCATGGGGAAAAGCAGCTCTCCTCTGCTCCAGCTGGCTGTGGTATCTGCAAAGAAACACACATTGTCCACCCTCCCCAAAAACACCTCTCTCCAATTCCCAGACACAGCCCCCTTTGCTGATAACTAAAACATCCCTGGGTTTATCACCCACCCGGCCCCAGGCTGGTTCTCAGTTAACTCTCTCCAGAGCTTTCTCAGATCAACCCTGCCCTCCTAGGTAAGTCTGCCTTACCACCCCTTTTGTCCTCCACATGGGTCCCTCTGCCTCAGGGAGGGAAAAAAAGGATATCAGGTTGTCTTCTCCCCATCACTAAGGGCAGGTTCACTTCACAGGCAGGCTGCAGGGTGGTTCCTCCCCAAGCTCTGTGGTCCCAGGGCTCCTTCCCTTCTCTGAGCCTGGCTGAGTCTCCAGGGCTGAGTTCCCTCCTCTCTTCTGCCTCAGGAGCCAGTCAAAAATATGCACGTGCTCTTGCAAGCAACAACTTTCTGCAAACTTTCCTGCTCTGCCTTTGCAGGGATCCAGAGCCCTGCTGCAAATCCAGTAGCAGCTGGTATAGACACAATGACCTCATTCCAACCATGGCCTGGACAGAGATTAGAACAAACATTTCAGAAGCACATTATCTAACACTGTAGGAAATGAAAGTACACTGTTCCAGGGTGGAATGGCTCTTAGTGGTGTGCACCTGAAAGTATGGGTGCAATGAAAATAACCCTGGATGTTAGCTTCATTTTTCCCTATTTTCAGTAACTTGCTCAGAAGAACTAGTTACATGCTAGAATATCCAGAAGACGACAGGATCTAGGTAGTTTATTCCTTGGATAACTGGCTAGTCAGAGTAAAAGGTCAGAGTAAAATATTCTCTTAAGGCCCACTAGACTAGCATGATTAAGACAGGCCAGTTTCTACAGTTAACAGCACACAAGGGAGAGGCAAGGCTAGTGTTAAGTACAGTTATTTTTCATGAGCTAGCCTGAGTGACCAGGTACCCATTCTCTGCTTAGTGGACTAGGGGCAGCCTTTGAGATGAGTCCTGAGTAGGGCTTAGTCTTATACCTCTGCCACTATGCCCCTTATCTCTTTTACTGATTCTCCAAGTAGATATTGCCTGGAACCTGTTTTATTTTTTTTTCCTCAAAAAGGATGACCAAATATAAAAGTTAATGAACTAAAGCATCCCAAATTACATCAGCTTCATTACTTATTGTGGTTTATTATGTTGTGCTTCAGAGCATTTCCTATAGGCCACGGTTATCTAATATATGACCCGTGGGCCAGATCCAGTCTGTAGAGTTGTATGATCTAGCCTATGGGTCTCTGGACCAACCCCACATGCTGGCCCCAGCCCTGTGTGCTGCACGTTTTAGGTCTGGTTCAGAGCAGGACGTGTCAGAGCCAGCATGCAGAGACAGGCCAGCAGGGTGCCTCATGCAGCAGATACCCCATGCTGGCACCATGTGCTGTGTGCAACACATGCAGCCAGTCCAACCACTCATGCCAATTTGGGCCATGGGCCTTATCACAAATCCGGCAAAAAAAGGACTCAGCTGTACAGAAACCAAGTATTTGGGATACACTTTAGACAATGGGGAGATTAAACACCTCACTGATAAGGCAGAGGTCTTAATGAACTTCCAAATACCCAAAAGGTAATTGAAGTCCTTCCTTGGATTGGCTTTATCCTGCATGTCTCATCAGTAACCACTCCACTAACACACAAATCAAGCAATATAGCCTCCCAATTTGTGCAGTGGTCTCCAGCATGTGTGGGGACAGTTGGAGAAATAAAACAGATACTCTATATTGCTCCAGTGTTGCACAGTCTGGACTTCGACCACAGGTTTATTTTACAAATGGATGTTTTAGAGTGAGGCCTTGAAGTCATTCTTGCTTAGGACTTTGAAGATGGAGAACCCCCGATTCCAAACTAAAAGGAAACTTTTTCCCAGTGAGTAAAACTACTCTGGGACTAGGGAGTGCTGTGCCATGAAGTGAGCAATTGAGGACCTCTGGTACTAGCTCCTCATTACTAGTCATGCCCCTTTAACATGGTTGAAAGCAATTGAAGAAGCCAACCAGATTGACATATTGGTACCTGGTACTGTAACCTTATTTCTTTGAGGTTTGCCATTAATCAAGATCTGCATACACCAATGAAGATTTCTTTTCACAAGAAGAATGGGACCTAAATTTGGAACAGTGAATCCCAGATTCCACTTTGGGTGGGGGGAAAGGGAAAGGTATGTAACAGTGTGGTCTATCCCCTTAAAAATTGCCAGTCAGCCCTGTTAAGGATGTGCAGCTGTGGGGCCTTCTGCAAATGAAGGAGTCCCCCACAGGGAGCTTAAAACCCAGAGAGAAGAACAGAAAGGAAAACCTGTGCGGGAACAACCTGCAAGGAGAAGCAGCCAGGCGGCTTTATTGGGGGATAGCCAATGGTGAAAGTGGCTATTCTCTTAATATCTGGAAAGGACAGAGGATTTTTACTTTGTTCTGTTTTCTGATGGTTTTGCAAGAAATGAAGAATTCAAAAATAACAACAATGAATTCAGTTTCTTTACAAAACTTGGGGGTAGCCCCCTGCCACCAACTCCTACCATTTCACTACCATAAATTAAGAATGCTAGGAAATAACAGACAAATATGGGAAACTTGCCTTTTTTTACTATAAAAAAACCTGGAAAAAGCAGATCTTCTGAATTTCATTTTTTTAAACATTATGGGCCAGATGCCATTTCAGATACTAAATATCAAAGTAGATATAGATGCCTATTCCACCCTATTCAAATTAATGTGCCTACTTTTGCAACCAACCAGCACCTTACCCTTAAGACTAAATCACAAAAAGCAGCAAGCAGGAGGGCCCATCCACTCTTTGCATTAACTGTTTTACAGTGACTTGAGCAGGGTGGAATCAGATCACACCGACACCCTATGCTTAATAAGTAGTACATCTCCAAATCAGAAGAATCATTGATCATGGAAAGCCTTTATTCAAAGATAAAGACTGACAAGCTGAATTCCACATCCCCTGCCGCTGTTTTTTTTTTATAGATTTTTCTTGTTTATGATGGTAACAACGTTAGTAACATAACATAACATAACAGTAGTGAACGTCACTTTTTGAATGTCAAACTGATTTAAAATGAGCTTTGCAGCTGTATACTACAAACAAGGCTGAATTATTTGTTCCTGGTGAGTCTGGAATCTGATGTTCTTCAAGAAATAAGAGTTTTTAGTTATGATTCATGATTTCACTGCCCAAAAACTGAGGAAGCAATTTTTCTAAATTAGTCAAGTAAACAAGCATGCTACGATATTATCTATAAGCACTGATGTTTTGAGTTGCAATAACACTTTGGACACAAAATGACTAAGCACTCTATTCTATTTCTTTCATTTGATAGAGGCTCTGCCAGGGTTTCAACCTAAGTGTCCACTTGCTTTGTTTGTGCTCAAAACCTAATTTAGGAAACTGGCCATGTCATAAGACGAAGAGAAAGACAATTACTTACAACACAGTGAACACAGATGAAAAAAAATGCTTCAGACAGATGCTAGCAGAGCCTACATGATAAGAGAAGAGCAAGACACAGATGTATATCAGCAATTTAGGGCAAGGTCAGCAACTTTTTCATACTAGTGGCCAAAATAACATGGTTCAGCCCTAAGGCAGGCTGCTGCTTGCAACTTGGCTACATCCCTTGTCCTTCCAGTGCCTTCCACCAAATGTTGTCAGCTCTTGCCACATGCCTCCAGCACCCCCTCCCTGCTGCCCCTGGCCCACCAATTTCCCCCCCAGTCACTGATCATGGCCACACCTTACTGATTCTCTCTGCCACCAATCGCTGTCATGGGCTGGATCAAATCTTTGCAGGTGAGATCAAGCCTCTTCATGAATTAGATCTATCCATAGGGTGTTCATCCCTGCCTCAGGGTGAATATCATCAAGCCAAACTGATTTGAAAACACCTAGCATATGTATGTAGTCTCTAACATGTTCCTCCCTTATTCTATCCTGAGTCCTTACCATCTTGCCATTGATGCTAATTATGGTAGTCATCTGATCACAGTTAACCCCTTTCAAACAACATACAAAATAGAGAAGGGACCTTAAGTCTTCCATTTCTTAAAGATAATCTAAGATAGATTATCTTTTACTAAACCAATCCAGACAAATGCTTGTCTAATGGACAAGCAGGTGTGTGCAAAATACGGCCTGCGGGCCAGATATGACCCACCAATTGATTGGATCTGGCCTGTGGCTTACCCCACGGTGTTCTGCATAGGGCCAAGACCCACCCCCTCTGGCCTGGGGCAGCCTATGCCACACTCCCACCTGCACCCACCCATGGCCACGGCCCCAGCCAGCGCACAGTTGCCTGGTAGAGCTGCAACTGCTTAGTTCTCCACTCCAAGAGATCCTCCTTCTCCTTCTGCCTCTGCTGTGCTGCTCCAGGTGGGAGGGAAGCTTCCACTGGGTGGCTCCTGCCCCAGCGCGCTCCAGCTTCCAGCTGCCTTCTGCGCACTCTGCCCGTCTGTACAACGAGCAACCGCCTGTGGGCAGCTGAGTGCTAGAAGGCAGCTAGGAGCTGTAACCCCACATGCTGGGGCAGGAACCACCCCCTACCCAGCTGCAGCTTTCCCCACACCTAGAGTGGCATAGCTGGGGCAGGAGGAAGAGGAGGAGCTGCTGGAGGTGAGGAGAGCCAAGCAGTACCCAGGTGGCTGCAACCCTACCGGAAAAGTGTGCGCACTGGCTGGGGCAAGCAGGAGTATGGCAGGGGCTACCCAGGGTGGGAGTGGCCCCATGCAGAATGGCGTAAGGTCAGCTGCAGCAGGTGGCGGGGGGTGAACCACACCTGCACTGCAGAGCTCTGCTGCACACACCCCTCAGTCCCTCCCCTTACTCCTGGCCAGCTCCCTGGACCTAGCATGCAAGCAGGCCCCCCGCATACACCGCCCCCCCCAATCCTCCCGCACAAACCCCACACACCATCCCCACACTGCTCCCCACCCACAATATACAAAAGTAAGACTTTATTTTGAGCTATTATGCAATTGCCTCTATACATGCTACTCAAAAAAAAAAAAAAACATAAATCAGGACAAAAATGATTTTTTGAAATAAAATTAAATGTTGTTATAGTAGATGTTTGATTTTTAGTACATGATTTGTTTTTATCTATAATTTGTTAAAATGATATCTTCTAAAAGATGTTGTATGCACAGCGCTCGGCAGCTCACCGAAACTCGTTAAGTGGCCCTCCGGCCGAAATCATTGCCCACCCCTGATCTAACCTGTACTTAAAAAACTTCCAGTGACAGGTTTCTACAATCTCCTGAGGTAATCTGTTCCAGTGCTTAACCACCCACTTAGAAAGCTCTTCTGAATACTTAACATAAAATCTCCTTCGTTGCAGCTTAAGCTTCTTGTCCTATCCCTTGTGGGCACAGAGAACATTTTTTTCATGATCCTCTTTATTAACAATCCTTTGTGTATTTGAAGGCTTTTATCAAATCATCCTGCAGTCTTCCGTTTCCTAGACAAAGTAATCCCCATTCCAGCCTTTCCTCATAAGT